AGTAGAAGCTGCGAACGATGTAGCCCCGCCAAAACCAATCAAGTGGTACCTGTCCCACAGTAACCGCACTCCGAAGAAAATCTTCCAGACACTCACAACAGGTCGAAGATAGTCGCCGAGTCCAGGACACAGTAGATGTAGAGCTCTCCAACTAGCTTGATTTGTCGTACCCTACTCGAAGATTCTCGAGGATCTTCACGTTCGCATCCAATTTGAATCTGACACACTCCTATGGACGATGATATGTTCAGATGGTCATTACATTTTCCATCAGCTCATCAACTACTTCAATGACGAATCGGGGACGGAAGCGTGCCAGACCGGATAGAAGTGAGGCAAGGGAATACCTAGGGATGGTGACACGTGACTACAGGTGTCACCACTAATACTACATGCAGTCGTAGTTGGCATGGACGTTGAGATCAAGTACGCAGTCTTTCATCCACTTATACACCTCGCTATCCTCCTCATTACATCTATCACCAATCTTCACTTTACCATCTGAATCATCATCCGAATGAAACCTCCACAGACCCTTTGCTTCTACCTTCATCACTAACATGATGTTCCCAAGGCAACTTCCGAGCTAATCGCAGTCCTTCTTCCTCGTCCAGAATGTAAATATCTTGGAAAATTAACTTTCGTATCAACCTACTACTACAATTCCTCACAGGAACCCCACCACAGTCACCTCACCGTTCCATGATAGGTCGGTCCTGGTCCCCGCCTTTTACACCAAACTTAGTTTTCCGAGGCTTCATATAAAAATATGCGTCCTCTAGGGAAACGTCAGCGCTCGCTGTTAGAGCTTGAGTCGCGCTTATTCCCAGGATACTATACGACAACACTAAGGTGAACACTCCTACCTATTTTTCAACTTCCACATTCGCTCAACTAAGTTATCCATTCGCGTGGCTGTGTCCGGTTTATATAGGAGATACCTGAATACATACCCTTAGACCAACAGCTCCCCCCCCAGAGGTGCTCTCCTCAATCACCTCCCACACGAGAGACATAATTGACTCGCCATCTCAGCCCAATGGTCGTTAGCCAAATGGCCGCCGTCCATAAGGCGCTTAAAGAAGTCCATCACTACACCTGACGAAAAGCAATTCCCTCCTACTCCTCCCTACCAACCCCAGTAGACCCTACCAGGTGGGACCAGCCTGAACTTGCACATCTGGGCCAGGAGCCTCAGGCAGACCATCTGTTCCCCAACCTTATCCATCTCATTCTTACCGAGAGCCTCATCAAGTCTCTTCAGAGCTTGCGATGAGAGCTGAGCAAAAATCGCAGGTCATCCACTCCGTTGAAAGGGGCAAACGAGCTCGATCGATTCCGACGAGTACATGATCCTCCCATTCTTACCGCATCCACGAGGTCCTTAGCCCACGGAGCGATGTTAGCCACCACACGCAGCCATTCTGGAGGTACTGTTCCGCGTGCCTGAGCAGAGGTGATCCAGGTTGGATCCGAGGTCTAGGCACTTTCACCTTATCCTTCGGATTGAGTATAAAACGCGCCAGCTTCCTCCTATTCTGTTTAGTGTTGAGACCTTCCTCAAACCACTTCTGACTGAGCTCATCAGCAGTATCCCTTCTCTCACAGGTGCGCAGGTTATTCAGCCACACATCGAAGGCCGCACTAGCTGCAGTGGTCGCTCCTACAAACACCGCCAAGTACAACTCTTATCTATTATCGTACTCCTATTGATGAACTACAGGTCCTATTAGGTTCCTACTACCGTGATGATCACAGTCAGAGGCCGTTCATTCACAACCCCAAAATTCGATGCGCTCATTTCCCGTAGTATTCACACTAATTATACAAATTTGAAAATTCATGCACCTTGCAAATTTTATGGGAGTTGGTTCTTACTACAAAGTACATCTTTCTGTCACTAAATCGCAGGATGGGATCTTGTGCACGCTCCAAGCTCCCTTATTATCATTCATCACACTCTATGTGTCAATATGTCGGCAACTCAATAGTAAATGTGGACCCAACCTCTCTGCTGCAGACCCCCTCAATGCTGTATCAGGCGCCTCCTAGCATTCAACCAGTACCTACCTTTAGCAACTTCTGAGTCCACTTCGGCCTTAGGAACACTTCGTAACAGCACTGGGGGCAGACGGGACTCCAAGTCGTACAGATCCTCATAGAAAGATCTGTCTGAGTCGTCAACCCTACGGACGATTCAACTGTACCGAGAAACTACACGGATGAGCATTACCATAAAAGCTGCAACATACGCTCCTGTTCGCTGAGCCCACCCTCGTCCTTCTTACTACTCTCTTGAGTAGGGCCCGTCAGTCGTGTCTTAGACTCGGTCTCTACTACAACAATGAATACCATAAAACCTCCAAATCACAAGCATCACCTTCCCCCGGCAGCTTAGGTGGCGGCAAATCGAGAATCTCCGCGATTGACTTCAAGTGAGTTGAGAGCTTTTCAAAGGCTGTCGCAAGAGATGAATATCTGAAAGCGACGCTCAAAGCCCCCACCCCCCTATGAATCGACCTACTTGCTCGCATTCTCTGCATCCACTGTTCCCCTGTCCACCCTCAAACGTGTGTTAAACTGCTCCTGTGCGAGCATCTGTTCATGAGCCACTGGGTACAGCTGAGGGACCGCAAAGTTGGTGTAAAATTTCACAATTGCCTTCACAATAGAATCACCTACATAACAATACCTTCACACTGATCTCAGACGGCAAAAACCGCGACTACTCGTCGTAGAATCCAAGAGGCATTCTGAATAGTCGGGCTCTTCTACGCCTGCCTCCTTCAGCAGAGCTCTATGAGCCTCTCCAGGTCGCCCGAGTGCACACAAATGATACCTATACACTCAAATTCCCACAGTGAGCGAGTGACCAAGAGCATACTTATTCAGCCAACTATGCAGGGCAGTAACGTCTTGAAGTAGGACTTGGGTTTGTGTCGATTGTCCCTTGGAGCCAACCAACATCCCCTTCACCACAGTCTGTAACATCTCTGAACCTTCCGCACTATTATCACCCAAACACTGCGTTAGAACCTGTTGAGAAAGTTACCAACATCCCTATACGTGTTTCTCGACCGGCAACAAGGTATAATCAACCGCTCTTACTACCATCTCAGTGACTATCCTAGAGAGGACTCTACGACGAGAGAGCTCTCCAATAGATGCCTCGAACTGCTTAACAAACTCTGCTATAATATGACGACCCATATCCACACCGTAGGTGCATACCAACTCCACAACGATCTCCACCTGATGAGCAGACTACTACACAGAAGCAACAGTGACCACCAAGTAACTGATATAATGCGACCTCACCAAGACAGGAAAACAGGCCCTCGCTTCTGCTATGCCGAGCAGCAGTCTATCCCTTTACCTACTGTTTTATGGACGTCCTTAACCTTCATTGACGAGGTACCATCCGACAACGCTGATGCCAACTCACTGGAGTACCTGACATCATACTCCCCATCAAACCCTCTACACTACCGAGTACTACATAGTGCAATTAAGTTTCTTCATCTCGGAGATGGTCCCATCGGAAGAAGACTCGCCAGACAGTCTACGAAGTCGATTCAGCAACTTGGCGATTTTCGTAATACCTGACCACTACTACTACCCCTACTACAATATGGCGACTCCTTACTCTTATCCCGAGAATTGAGTGCCTGCCTGGTCACCTCAACACCATCCGTTCCCTTCCGAGCCCCTCTAAGTCGATCCCGGAGTTTCTTGCGCCACAGCACCTCAGCAGCCTCCTGAAGAGATGCCCATTCACCTACGTTGAGAAGCGCTTGAGCTTCTCATATTACCTCCTTCATTTTGGCTTTTATCTCATCAATTCGGTTTTGTGAAGCAGGACCAGTTGCCATGGGGACCAAAAAGTGAACTACGCCTTACGTTCCCTCGTCACCCCCGATTATATTGACAATCACTGAACTCACATCAGAACGTTGATGTAAAAACGATTCGGTTGTTGCTGCCGACTTTCGCACACCCATTCACTACCACTGGATCGATCCCTTCCAGTGAGCCATGAAGAATACAATAATGAGGGGTAGTAGTAGGATGAATACAAAGTACTTCTCAAAATAGAGACTCGCCAATTGCTCCACATATTGCACCTGCAAATAATAACCATACCACTCCTTTTTGAAAGTGACTTAGATTCAATCGAGTAGTATTGTGTGAACCCACATACCGTGATGGAAACTGATGTGTCGAGGTGATTCTACTTTTCAATGTACGACTATGTAAATACGATCCACAGTCTCAGTCAATTGACGTGTTCTGGATTTGACCTCCCAACTCTACAGAAATGATTCCAAGATCATCAGTGTGCATAACGAGTGGGTTACGAGTGGCCATATACCATAATGGCTTACATTCTGCTTCATAGTGAGCTTAGATTCACCAGAAGTTCTCTCTTGAAATGTTATTGGAACATCTACGACTGGACTCGCCTTACAACGTACCATCAACTCCAGCCCAATCTTGAAGCCTATAGGATTGCACCTGCATCCCATCCTCGCACCAAATTAGGATCATCATCATCATTATTGCTTGTAGCCACGAATGAAGACCTCCTTAGTTGTGCAGAAGAACCCAGACATGGGATCGCTGGATTTGGACACTCCTATGGCCAGCAAGGTCGCTCCTTCCGAGATGATACGTCGAATAAGAGACCACTGAAATCCAATACCGCCATCACGGCAGTATCTAGTAGTGCCATATAGTGATCACTTAGTCGCACCACATGTAGTACCTAGAACCCACTGTGAACTCCGCCTCCATCCTAAGCACAGGGTCCGCCACAGCAGGAACCGACTCAGGTTCGTGCTGGAGGTCAGCGTCCATGCATAGCATAGTACCATACTTGGCCATCTCAAAACCCAACAGTACCGCCGAGGACAGTCCACGCCCCTAAGGGTCAATCGCTGTTGAAGTCACACCTATTCCATAAAATACCTCCTCTGTCTTACGACAATGCATTCTGATAGTGTATCCCTCACTAGCAAGGACGTTAACGATCTTCCTGGTCTCCTCAGAGCCAGCACTTTCATCGTCCATAAGGAGGAGCTCTATTGTCAAGCCAGCCCCACGACAAGCTTTGAATAGCCGCTCACCGAGAGGACGAATATTCTCCACCTCGTTGTAGGTCGGTACGACCACTGACAGCTCCTTACGCATTGGTGTCACCTAGGAGGACTGGACAAATATTCGTTTCGAGATGATGAACTGCAGACGACTATAATAATCCATGCATGGTCTCACCCTCCAACAGAAGCTGTATTACTCCTCAACCAAGAGACACCTCTGCCATTTCGTTGCACACATTCCTTGTCGTACTCTACTACATTTTTGAAAGGCCTATTTCGCGTTTAGTAAGATCAATTTCGCTGGGCAAGAAATCATCCGAGCCAAGATATTCCTTGGTAGTATCAATTTCGACGACACGTGTGATTAGTAAAATCAATTTCGCCGGCATGTCTGAAGTAAGTCCAATTTCGACGAAAGGCGGAAATCGAGTTCGCTGATAGTATATTGAATTTTGCTCGGCGGCAGATTGTCGATCCCAGGGGCCGTATGCGGATCCTGATGCAACAGGTGAGTCAGAGTATTTACTCAGATAAAAAATCAGATGGTGAGTAATAACCCCTGATTCACTGATTTTTTACTCTGGAGCGAGAAATCGCGGGGATATGTGGATCTCCGAGCTGATTCGAGAATCTAGAGTTGATTTTTTGGCTGATTAATACTCTTACTCAATATGCGTTGCTCATGAGGCTGATTTTTCGGGTGATTCCATTGAATCTGAGTATTTTCGAGAATCAGGGAATCAGAGTTTGAATCAGACATTTTTGACAAAACAAAGATCATAGTCGCTACGCCCCAGAACCGAAAGTGACAACTTTAAGAAAGGAAGAAAACGTCCCTCCACAAAGGTAGAACCTGGTAGATTCGCCCGAATCCATGCACATTTCCCGTTACGCTACAGCAATGATAAAATTTCGGAAGAAGATCTTTTGTCGCACTTGTACACATCCGTA